AGGAAGGACAAGGGAAAGTGGGCCAGTGGGTTCAGAGAGAATGATTCATTCATTCAATGTAAATAAATTTCACTGAAACTAAGATAATCTATAAGGTCATTTCAGCATGGGAACAGAAGTTAAGGGTACATCCATTTAGACACAAAATCATGATTCCTACCCTGCTGCCCTTTCTAAAGACCATGAGTAAGCCAAAATGTTTTCTAAATTACATTTTCCACATCACCTGAGCTAATATACCAGAGTAATGTGAAGTATTATAAATTTGACTTTCAAAGGGGGTGTTTCAACCTGCATTTTTAAGTGTAGAAAATTAAACTAATCCTTCTGAATTGATTAACTGCAGGAAACAAACCTGTGGGGAAAGAGGATCTATTTTCTGACTCTCTAGGCTACTCTTCGGGGGAATATATTTTTGAGGTTCTCTTGGGAAAGAATGATGTAGGGTTGTCATTTAAAAAAAAAATCACACATCACATTTAGTTACATGTGACACAGTTGCCAGCCTGTATGCCCTATTTTAACTGGGGCATCCTTGCAGCTTCTTTGTGGCTCTTATGTTAGTGGCCTTTTATTTATTTGTTTTGTATTTTTTGCTGAAGTAATGACACCGTGAACCATAAGTGGCCTGCACAAGGTACCTCAATAAGTGGACACATAAGTATTTGTTGAAGAAAAGGAAGGAGAGAGAGATTTAGAACAAGGCAAGGGGAAAAAATCACCACTCTGTTTATATTTTTATTTTACTCTTCAAGATATTCCTCCCATTCTAGCCTATGGCTGTCTAGGTTAGGGGACATCTGGAATCTTGTATTTATGCATCGTTTTAAACAAATACCTGCAGTTTTCTGAGAAGTAAAAGAAACAAGTGAAGACTCCTTTGAGAGAAAAAAAACACGGATTATTTCCCGAAAAGCAGGACTGTTTGACGTGATTTTAACAGAAACAGAAAGCAAATGGTCCCTGCACCTCCCATCTCACCCCTTTGCGCACTCCAGTGTGTCTACAACACAGACCTGAAGCTTCAGGACACAGTCCTGGCCGTGTTAAGTGGGAACGCTTACCTTTCGGCTCTTTCTCCCTCCCTTCACCCATTACCCTTTTCCATTTCTTCCTCCAGCCATGGACATTATTTTAATCACCTTCAAGGAGGTTTTCAGCAAGAGAGCCTTGAGGGAGAGGAAGAGACAATGTAATAATTGTCCTTAGACAAAGGCAGAGAAAGAAGAGATAGAAAGGAAAGGAATGGAGAGGACCCGAAGGCAGGGCCTCATCTGCAATGCAGGGCCTGCAGTCCCCAGATGTTACCAAAGCATCGTCTTCCCTTCCTGCAAGAAAAATTGGATTAGTCACCATCTTGTCTCCTAATGGACACACTCTGTGATCTTTAGAGCTTCATTTACTGGGTTAATAGTGCTTTGCCTGAGTTCCTCTGCTATGGAAAAAAAAAAAAAAAAAACCTGGAAGAAGAAATATTCTGGGTGCAGTCTGCAACCACTGACACGAGTAATATCGTATTCATCACAGAGAGACCTCGTATCTCATTACTGCTGAAGAATTGCCCCGGAGGCGTCTGAGCTTGGCCAGACCAGGCCTCTCATGTGGAACCGTTCAGGTATATTGTGAAATGATTTAATGCGATAATAATGTCCACTTTGCGAGATAGATTATGTTTTTTATAGTGGCTGATGGTTAATGAATGATACATTAGCAAACATCACTAAAACGTTATTGGGAAATGCAGATGGAGAGACGGAGTGCTTTCTCCTGCTTCTTCTTGGTTTTCTCCCCAGGCGGTCCTGCCACCCCCTCCCCCACATTGATGCATAAAGATGAAAAGCAGAAGAACTTACAGGAATCAGAAAACTTAATTTATTTAAAAGAAAAAAAAAAAATCCCAGCTGTGTGTCCCTGCCTCTCAGTCTCTCCTTACCAGAAGGAAGGATGAATACTAAAAATGTTCAAACATGAGCTGAAATATCTCTTCTTAAATCAAATGAGAATCAATGAAAGTGCGAACCTGAACAAATACATTATATGTTGACCCAGTTTATTAGATGAAGCCGTTTACCCTGATTTGATTTATCTGGCAATACACAGCTCAGCTGTGAAATGAGATAAGCCGAGCCCATTCACCTTATTTACTGTATTATCGCAGCTCTTGCTAGTGCTGCCGTGGTTAAGGGTCTGTCAGCATTTCCATTACAAATCCCTATTTTCAGTGGCTGCAGAGATTCACTCCCAGCTGCCAGTGGCACGGCCGACCCTAAGCCAGGAGTACAGCCTCTGCAAAGATGGATTCCACTATATTATTCACCATCTCCAATGCCGAGGCTGAGGAAGCAGGAAGAATGTGAATTTCCCTAGGTTGGTGAGGCTTCACACCAGGCAAAGAGGTCAAGTGAGCTCCCATTTACATTTTATTTCATTTCTTCACTCATTGACCTGTTCTAAATAGGTGTTTCCAAAATGTTCTCTTTTCACGTCCATTCATTTTGGAATGCCAAAGCCTGCCTGTTTCTCAGGACCCTTCTCCACCATCCCTCCTCCAAGGTCTTCATCAGGCAGGCATTGAGGGGCCGGGACCCTAGAAGATGGGCTGCAGAATTCACATGGGGCCTTCCCAGGAGAAAGGAGGACAGACCCTGTTATTTTGAGGTTTTCAATGAACACCTATTATCCAGATGCCCAGATCCAATAAAATTCTTATAGAAATAGAGAGAAAGAGAGGTGAGGGAAGGGGGAATTTTATTCTCGAAAGTTTTACTTAAAGAGTAATAAAAAGTATGTTTCTTATCAGTCAGTGTCATTCCTGTTCAAGCTCCACAGAGCACACAAACCCATGAAACCGCATCTGGGCAAGAGCCTCCCCTGTGAGCCTCCCTGACACACCTCCAGGGTTTGGTGCATAGCACAACGCTGCAAAGCAGAAATCAGGCAGGAAGAAAGTTCAAGGGAACCAGTGGTTAACACAAAAGCTACCCCCCACGTCCCTGGATGGTCCCTACTAGTCTCAGGCCTGACTCAGGGCCTGGCCTCTGGGCTGAGAGAACAACTGACCCTGAAATCGCAGGGGACTGCCAGGTAACATGGCGGTCCTGCCCTGTCCTCCCTTGAAATGCCACTAAAATAAAGGAAATAGAATAAAATAGGCAGAAGCCCACAGGGACAAAGAGAACAGGAGAACACCCATTAGCAGATAAGCAAGGCTAACTCACTTTTGGAAGCTGGAAGAGAATGGAAGGCTGGTAACCAACTTAGCAGAATAGAGGAAATCACTCTGCAACTAAAACCCTCAAAATGCTTCCCCAAACACCCTGCCCCAGAGCCAGACGGTGCAGATTTCTTCTCTGAATATATTCACCTAGAGAGGCTCTAGAGGCCAGACACGGTAGAGGGGCAGGGTGGCACCATTCTAAAAGCAGAAAGATTATGAAAAGTCTACGAGTGAGCTATGCCCTTCACTCACTGTTCTTTTCAAAATGCTGGTGGCGGGGAATGTGCTCTCAATGCAGGAATTGTTTTTCAGATGGAGAAATATGAGGACTGCATACATAGAGTAAAGCAAATAAAGAAACAAAGCAAAGGATTAATTCAAAGAAAGCCAAGCCCTGCAAGAAAAATGCATGATCACAGGATGCAGTCGGCTCCGCAGTGAGCAATATTCACAAAGTTTATGCTGATGTCCACAGTGGTGACTATAACCACATTGGTGTGCTAGGCAAGTGAGGGCTGAGCTTCCATCCACAAAAACAGGACACAAATGGTTGAAAATTTGGGGATGAATGATTAGCAGTATAAGCATACTTGGAAATGTGGGAATAAAAAACCCAAAGAAACAGCTAAAAGAATTAAATGTGATTAACCGCTCATATTAATCATAGCGGGAGATGTAAGAGGCAGGTAGATGAAGGTTAAAGGTAGGGTCAGGATAATTCGGTCATGAAAAGTGGATTTAATTATGAGCCTCCTAGGATTCTCTATCTATCTATCTATCTATCTATCTATCTATCTATCTATCTATCTATGTATCATCTATCTATCTAATCTATTTATTTATATTATGGGGGTATGAGTGCAGAGTTCTTTCTTTTTTTTTTTCAGACAGAGTGTCTTCCTCTGTTGCCCAAGCTGGAGTGCAATGGCATGATGTCGACTCCCTGCAACCTCCGCCTCCCAGGTTCAACCTATTCTCCTGCCTCAGCCTCCAGAGTAGCTGGGATTACAGATGCCTGCCACCACGACCGACTAATTTTTGTATTCTTAGTAGAGATGGGGTTTTGCCATGTTGGCCAGGCTGGTCTCCAATTCCTGACCTCATGAGCCTCC